TTGTTGACTTTTCTTTCCTTTATCTTTAGGTTGTAAGAGGTTGGGTGAAGCAACTTACTCGTTTGAGAGGTTACACTGATCAAATGGTGGAGGATGCAAATGCAGTCATTTTCACCTTTGGCTCCTATCGTCTAGGCGTGAGTATTTAGCCTTTTCATTTGTTATTCCCGTCCTATTTTCTATGCTTAAGTTTGACCAAACATATCTGGTTGGAGTCAATTTAAACATTAATGTATTGTATTGGTATTGGTATTGGTATTGGTTTTTTTGGTTAGGTTCTCTGGAGTTGCTTGACCTTTCTATATATTCTGTTTTTCTAGTCATGCACCACTTGTGAAGTTGTGATTTTCATTATTGCACTATTCTCGTCAATTCTTAATTTACATAATATGCTCATTTCATTTTATTGCACAATGACGTTGCTTACATTTATGTTTTGATAGGTTCATGGGCCTGGAGCTGACATCGACACTTTATGTATTGGCCCATCCTATGTGAACCGAGAGGTAAATACACAATTCACTCTGCCCTGCATAACTGATATTATCAATCCTTGTACCATTTTATTCATGCATCTCAGTTATCTGTCTTTACCAGGAAGATTTCTTCTTTGTGCTATACAATATCCTAGCAGAAATGGAAGAAGTTACAGAACTACAGCCAGTTCCAGATGCTTATGTCCCTTTAATGAAATTTAAGTTTGACGGAATATCGATTGACCTTCTCTATGCAAGCATCTCTGTTTTGGTTGTTCCTAAAGTAAGTGTAGATCAAATTTATCTTTATTTGCAGTTAAAAATTGTCATTTGCTGTGTTTTTGTGTAGGAATAGTTTTATATTTGCTCTTTCTAGCATGTGTGTAGGGATTAGTATGTTCTCTTTATTGTTTACTTTACACAAACAGAAAGTCATTATTATTTTGGTATCTGTCTACTAATTCTCAATTGTGGACAGGACCTTGACATCTCTGACATGTCAGTATTATACAATGTTGATGAGCCTACTGTGCGAGGTCTTAATGGCTGCAGGGTTGCTGATCAAGTTTTGAAACTTGTTCCAAATGTTGAGGTTAAGCTTCTTTTTTATGATTGATTGCTTTAATGATTTCATTACTGTGTTTCAACATGTCTTGTGATTTTTTTTTCCTGTGTATCAATATACTTTGGAAATTTTTAGCATTTTCGCACAACTCTTCGATGTCTAAAGTTCTGGGCTAAAAGGCGTGGTATTTATTCCAACGTAAGTGCTCTTGCCCTCAGTCAATTTATTGGTGCTTTGGATTCTCTGTTTTTATGTGTTTTTTCCATTTTCAGGTGACTGGATTTCTTGGTGGTGTCAATTGGGCTCTTCTTGTAGCTCAAATTTGCCAACTTTTCCCTAATGCAGTACCCAGTATGCTTGTTTCACGGTTTTTTAGGGTTTATACACAGTGGCATTGGCCAAACCCTGTTATGCTATGTGCAATTGAAGAGCATGAACTTGGATTTCCTGTGTGGCATCCTCGTAAAAATCCTCGTGACCGGACTCATCTTATGCCGATAATAACACCTTCTTATCCATGCATGAATTCTAGCTACAACGTCTCAATAAGTACCCGTCGTGTTATGATGGAGCAGTTCCAATATGGTAACAAGATCTGTGAGGTAAGAGATTGTAGAGTTCATCTCTCTATATTAGTCAATGGTAAGGATCATCATTCTCAATGTGTAAATGCAGGAGATAGAGCTGAACAATACCCAGTGGAATGCCTTGTTCAAGCCATACTTGTTCTTTGAGAGCTACAGAAACTATCTGCAGATTGACATTGTTGGAGCTGATGATGATGACTTGCGTGCTTGGAAAGGTTGGGTGGAATCTCGTCTAAGGCAGCTTACTTTGATGGTAATAGTGATGCCGTTACTTTTGGATTCAGCAAAGCCTTTCAATGATTATACTTCTAATGAAGAGTAGTGGTTTGCTTTTCTATTTCATGTTTTCTTGCTAATGTATTGTATTCACAGATTGAGCGTGACACATATGGGAAGTTGCAGTGCCATCCTTATCCTTATGAGTATGTGGATACAACGAAGCCATGTGCCCATTGTGCATTTTTTATGGGTTTGCAGAGGAAATCGGGGGAAAAAGTTCAAGAAGGCCAGCAGTTTGACATACGTCGGGCAGTTGATGAGTTCATACTTTCAGTAAAGATGTATAGGTTTTGGAAACCTGGAATGGAGATCAATGTTTCTCATATTCGTAGGAGGCAGATTCCTTTGTTTGTATTTCCAGGTGGTTGTAAACAACCTCGTAATCTGAAGCCGACTCCCTTTGACCAGTCTGGTAAACTATCTGATGGCATTGATGGTGCATCTCAAACAGGATCAGGTGGGAAACACCTTAAGAGGGAGAAAGATCCTTATGGAGGAAATAGTGAAGAATACAGGCTGGAGAAACGTCAATGTCCTCAGAGACCTGATTTGGTAGCTTTGGAGATTGATAGCGGCAGGTTATTGGAGTGTGCTTCGTCTGCTCAAGGGGGAATGAGTACAATTTCTAGTGAGGGCACAGATCAGAAGATACAACACCTGCAGAACAGTGAGGGTAGAAGTTTCTCAGATTCCAGTGTTGTCACATGTGCTTCATATGAGGATGTAGGAATCCAAAGTGAATCAGCAGCTTGTGGTAGCGAGGAGAACAACAGAAGTGATGATGGAAGCATGGAAGGCAGTAATAACCCAGCATCTTCTCGGAGTGACTCATTTGATGTGGATTCTGAATTCTGTTCTGACAATGCACATGTTGAGGGAGATGGGGTCTTTCAAGATGCATTGCAAGAAAAGTTAGAGGTTTTGAATTTAAGTTCCTTAACTTTTTATATTTCATTTAGTTCTTTATGTTTAGCTGTCAAAATTTATCTGTTAGTTTCATTGTCAATTCCTTTATTTGCGTTTTCTTCCAACTTGTAGGTTATATATACAAATGCAGCTAAAAAATCAAGATTAAGGGATTATAATACTTGCATTTTTTTTAATCTTAGAAAGTCTGCAGTTATATGATTTTGGGACTTTGGTAGTTCGGTGGGTTTTCTAGCATAAAATGGGATGCTCATATTTGCTAAGTTTTAATCTCTTTGCCTTATCGATTTGAATTTGTTTCTTGTTTTTCTTAAGGTGAAGCCAAATGCTGCACTTAAAGTGGTAATTGAAACCATCAGCGAATTAGACTCAGAAGCTGTGCAGAAACCAGTCAGAAGGCATGTTCTTCAAAACTTGAGCAATTTTTTTATATTGTTTCTTTTACAATTTTATTATCATGCTTTCTTTTTTCCACTTATTTTAATCGCAGGTCGAGCTTGGCATCAACAGCATGAGTGTAAAAGAAGTTGGAGAAGCAGAGAAGAAAGACAGAAAGCCAGCAGTTCTGGTAAGTGTAGCTTTTGTTGCTGGCTTTCGTTTCTTCTATTATTTTCAGGCATCTATGGTCCAGTGGCTCTTTCATCCTCAGTGGAATTAAGATTTCACCATCTAAATATATCTCTTCACATAGTTTTAGACTGTTACATATACAGTTTCCTTTGTGCTGGCTGTTCTGTCTTTCTGGGAGGAGGGGAAATAGTTTTTAAAAAAAAAAAGAGTGAAAAATATGGTAAGATTAGAAAAAAAAAAAATGGAGGGGTGAGCATGGACGGATGGAGGTAAGATTGTGATCTGTTCGTGTTCTCTAGTAGTAATTGCTGGAATTTCTGCAAGGTGAGCCAGACGCACCTGAAAATTTTGGTTCAACAATTTAGAATCTTGGTTGTTCCAGTGGTGTGGGGTTTTAGCTTGAGTTAAGTTGGTGGGATGGGTTCAGAACTTGAGATGTGTATTGGACAAATGATCAAGTTCTCTTGATCGTATTTAGCATGGTAGGCTGGGTGGTGCTTTTATCCATGCAACCATATGTATTTTCTTTCGCAAATAAATAATAAAAATAATACTATTTAGATGTATGGAATTCCATTCTCGTTTATCTCACCTCCTCTACTTAGAGGACCATATACGCTTGCTTCTTTTCTTTGGTATATAAGGGTTAGTGGTCTATTTAGAGGAATATATATTTATGTATATCGGTGGCTGAGTTAGCTATTTGGCATAGATTTGAACTGACATTGACTCCAAATTAAGGATATCAATGTGACTAAGTTCTGGTTGGTACAGGAGTTAGTGGTTTGAAATAATGAAACGAATAATATTTGAGTTGGAACTTGGAGGGAGACAATAACTGTCGTCTATCTCTTTGTTCTTTGCACTTGGATTGCCAATCTGAACATTCTTAAGAAATACTGAGGGCCTATTTGGACTTGGGGAAATTCTCTTTACCGAATTTTCTTTCTTAGAGGGTTTTTACGAAACTTTTACATTTAAATACTATAATAAAAGAAGAGAAAATGATATTTTTATTTTTATTTTTTTAAAATATTTTTAATTAATAATTTCTTCTCATATTTTTTTAAAGAGAATTTTCTTTAACTTTCTTTATGTGAAATTCGTTAG